CCAGTATGAAGTCTACGATGGTATGCAAGGTATGACTTCTGATTAAACGTTTTGCCACACTCATTACACTTGTAAGGTTTCTCTCCAGTATGAAGACTATGATGGCGTCTAAGGTACGACTTCTGACTAAAGGTCTTGCCACACTCATTACACTTGTACAGTTTCTCTCCAGTATGAATTCCCCTATGTATTACAAGGCTTGATTTGAAACGGAAAGCTTTGTCACATTCTTCACATTTGTAAGGTTTCTCTCCAGTATGAACTCTACGATGGTATGTAAGGGATGATGTCCGGCTAAAGGTCTTGCCACACTCATTACACTTGCAAAGATTCTCTCCAGTATGACTTTTCCGATGTATTTCAAGGTTTGATTTGAAACTGTAAGCTTTGTCACATTCTTCACATTTGTAAGGTTTCTCTCCAGTATGAAGTCTACAATGGCATTTAAGGGTTAACTGTTGATTGAAGTTCTTGCCACCCTCATTACACTTGCAAGGTTTCTCTCCAGTGTGAAGTCTACGATGGCATGTGAGGGATGACTTGTGACGGAAGGTCTTGTCACACTCATTACACTTGTAAGGTTTCTCTCCAGTATGAAGTGTACGATGGCATATAAGGGATGACTTCTGAATAAAGGTCTTGCCACATTCATTACAGTTGTATGGTTTCTGTCCAGTATGAATTCTCCTATGTCTTTCAAGGTTTGATTTCCTACCGAAAGCTTTGTCACATTCTTCACATTTGTAAGGTTTCTCTCCAGTGTGAAGTCTACGATGGTATGTAAGGGATGACTTCCGACTAAAGGTCTTGCCACACTCATTACACTTGTACGGTTTCTCTCCAGTGTGAATTCTCCTGTGTCTTTCAAGCTTTGATTTGAAACTGAAAGCTTTGTCACATCCTTCACATTTGTAAGGTTTCTTTTCAGGATGAAGTCTACGATGGCATATAAGCGATGACTTCTGACTAAAGATCTTGCCACACTCCTTACACTTGTACAGTTTCTCTCCAGTATGAATTCTCCTATGTCTTTCAAGGTTTGATTTCAAACTGAAAGCTTTGTCACATTCTTCACATTTGTAAGGTTTCTCTCCAGTATGAAGTCTACGATGCCACGTAAGGGATGATATCCGGCTGAAGGTCTTGCCACACTCAGTACACTTGTAAAGATTCTCTTCAGTGTGAATTTTCCGATGTATTTCAAGGTTTGATTTGAAACTGTAAGCTTTGTCACATTCTTCACATTTGTAAGGTTTCTCTCTACTATGAAGTCTACGATGGCATTTAAGGGTTAACTGCTGACTGAAGGTCTTGCCACACTCATTGCACTTGTAAAGTTTCTCTCCAGTATGACGTCTACGATGCCATGTAAGGGATGACTTCTGACTAAAGGTCTTGCCACACTCATTACACTTATAAGGTTTCTCTCCAGTATGAAGTCTACGATGGCATGTAAGGTATGACTTCGAACTGAAGGTCTTGTCACACTCATTACACTTGTACGGTTTCTCTCCAGTATGAATTCTCCTATGTGTTTCAAAGTTTGATTTGAAACAGAAAGCTTTGTGACATTCTTCACATTTGTAAAGTTTCTCTCCAGTATGAAGTCTACGATGGTATGTAAGGGTTAACTCCTGACTGAAGGTCTTGCCACACTCATTACACTTGTATGGTTTCTCTGCACTATGAATTCTCCTATGTCTTTCAAGGATTGATTTGAAACTGAAAGCTTTGTCACATTCCTCACATTTGTAAGGTTTCTCAACAGTATGAAATCTACGATGGCATGTAAGGGATGACATCTGACTGAAAGTCTTGCCACACTCATTACACCTGTAAGGTTTCTCACCAGTGTGACATCTATGATGGCCTGCAAGGTATTGCTTCTGATTAAAGACCTTGCCACACACATCACATTTATATTGTTTCTGTCCCAAATAGATTATCTGACGTTTCCTTAAGAGTGAGCTATAATTAAAGGCTTTGCCACTCTCATTACATGGGAAAGATTTTTCTCTCATGTGTACTTCCTGTTTTTGTGTGAGTAATGAAGAATTCCGGAAATCATTCCCATAGTTATTAGATATATGGGTTTTGGGCCTACAAGAAATTCTTTGGGCTGTTGAAAATGAGGAAGCATCGTTGATAGACTTCTCAACTTGATTATCAATTTTCCCTTTGGTGTGAAATATGTGCAGTTCAGGCAGATGTGAATGAAAGCTTAATCCAAGCTGATCTTTAATAGGCTTGTTTCCAGCATGACTATGATCATATCGGTCTGTACTACCTGTCAAGTTGTTGATTTTTGTAATGGGTGCTTCATGGCCATTTCTTTCATCTTCTTGCCACTGAAACTCAAAGTTATGAATATCTTTATCAATATCGTGGAAGCAAAAATCTCCAATGTGATGACTTTCATGTCTTTGCAAAGTCCCTGTGTGGAGCACTTCTCTATTGCCTTGCACTGTTGATGAGAACTCCTTCATCATGCATTTGGAAGAAATAGCTACAAAATATAAACACCAAAATTTTCAAGTTAAGTACAGATGGTAAACAATGCTGAAATATGTAACTATGACACAAAAAACAATACTTATTTTAAACTTTCCAAAATGACCCTCAAAGCTTAGGAACAGAAAAGCGTAAGATTCTTTAACAAATAATGGGCTATTACATGTGCTTCAAATTACTTTTACAGAAGCCTATTTCCAATATTGTGACAAAACAATGATAGGGCACAAATGTGTGTCACCTAAAGTAAGGAATATTTTTCCACTGGGACCCTAAAGTGTCTAACAGTTTCCAAAAAATATCACTGTCACATCAATGAAAAGTATATATTCTTCATATTTGCTGTATAGAAATAAATGCTAAAGGATCACAGGAAATACTATATTGGTAAATAATCCACAACAAGCTTATGTAAGGATAACCAAAATCAATGGAAATTCTGTATTGTCAAACAATCACAGCACTGAGAAGATAAGAAAAGACTACAAAATTTAGCCAGGCGTGGTGACCCACATCTGTAGTCCCAGCTACTTGGGAGGGTGAGTCACAAGAATCATTTGACCCCGAGAGGCAGAGGTAGCAGTGAGCCAAGATTGCACTGTACTTTAGCCTGGGCGACAAAGTGAGACTCCATCTCAAAAAACAAAAAAAGTTAATACAATGTTTTTCTGAATAACTCTCATAAAATTACCTATATCCATACAGAAAAAGCACTTCGTGACATTTTAAATAATTTTTTTATTTTTACATTTTTGAGGTTAAGTTTCACTCTCTCGCAACCAGCTGGAATTAAATGGCCTGATCTCGGCTCACTGCAACCTCCGCCTTTTGGGTTCAAGCGATTCTCCTGCTTCAGCCTCCTGAGTACCTGGGATTACAGGCACACGTCACCATGCTTGGCTAACTTTTGTATTTTTAGTAGAGACAGGGTTTCAACATGTTGGCCAGGCTGGCCTTAAACTGTTGACTTCAAGTGTTCTACCTGCTTCAGCCTCCCAAAGTCCTGGGATGGCATGCATGAGCCACAGCATCCGGTGGCACTTTGTGACATTAACTAGTGGACTGTGTTATACTGCATACCGCATACATACCGAAAAGCCTTATGTACAATCATAGAAATTAATTAGTAAAATATTGTAACGCATAAAACCAGGAAGCAAATAAGTACCTTTATACAACCTGCAAAATTCTAAACAATTCGCTGCTAAGAAAAACTCCACAACTTTTACTTACCACCAGCGCACAATGTAAGAAAGGAAATACATGTTAAGATCACTACCTTCTGATTTATGAAGTCAAAAATGTACACAGCATTATAAGGAATAAGAATTGACTAACGGCCAGGCACGGTGGCTCAGGTCTGTAATCCCAGCACTTTGGGAGGCTGAGGCGGGTGGATCATGAGGTCAGGAGTTCAAGAGTAGCCTGGCCAACATGGTGAAATCCCAACTCTACTAAAAATACAAAAAAATTAACTGGGTATGGTGGTGGGTGCCTGTAATCTCAGCTACTTGGAAGGCTGAGGCAGGAGAATCATTTCAACCTGGGAGGTGGAGGTTGTAGTGAGCTGAGATCGCACCACTGCATTCCAACCTGATTGAGAGGGTGAGACTTCATCTCGAAAAAAAAAAAAAAAGAATTGACTAACAGTGCCAGAGGGTGCAATTATGATGTCACAACTACATTTATGAAACAGCCAGGCAATACAGCAATTCTATAGATACATATGCATTGTTGGCCTTAATTATCTAGTTCACTATGCACAAAATACAAAACACAGAATGTGTACTGGGAAAATGTTTAAACTGAGATCAGAGAAAACATTTTATCATTCAAATTGCACAATAAAAACATAAACAATATGATGCAGCCTCCCTGGTGTGAATGTTCTTTTTTTTTTTTTTTTTGAGACGGAGTCTCGCTCTGCCGCCCAGGCTGGAGTGCAGTGGCCAGATCTCAGCTCACTGCAAGCTCCGCCTCCCGGGTTTACGCCATTCTCCTGCCTTTGCCTCCCGAGTAGCTGGGACTACAGACGCCCGCCACCTCGCCCGGCTAGTTTTTTGTATTTTTTAGTAGAGACGGGGTTTCACTGTGTTAGCCAAGATGGTCTCGATCTCCTGACCTCGTGATCCGCCCATCTCGGCCTCCCAAAGTGCTGAGATTACAGGCTTGAGCCACCGCGCCCGGCCGGTGTGAATGTTCTTATTGGCCAAAAGCCATGTTCAGAGTTTTTATTCTCCAACGGGATGTTCCTGCAGATGGGGCCTTTGAGAGAATTTGGTCATGGGTGTTGACTACTCATGAATAGGACTTGTGCTTTCATAAAAAGAGATACAAAAGAGCTCATTTCCTGTTCCTCTTTCTCCCATGTCAGGACACAGCAGGAAGATGGCTGGGCTAAACCCTAAAGAAGGCTCTCACTAGGAACCAATTTGGCTGGCATCTTGCTCTTGGGTTTCCCACTTTCCAAATTCATGAGAAATAAATGTCTGTGTCTGAAGCCTCCCACTTTAAGCTATTTCTTTTTTTGTTTGTTTTTGAGACCAATTCAAGCTCTATCACCCAGGCTGGAGTGTAGTGGCAGGATTCTCCTGCCTCAAGAGATTCTCCTACCTCAGCCCGGAGTCTCACTTTGTCACCTGGACTGGAGTGCAGTGGGGCAATCTTGGCTCACTGCAACCTTCACCTCCCATGTCCAAGTGATTCTCCTGCCTCAGCCTCTCAAGTACTTGGGATAACAACCGTGTGCCACCACGTCCAGCTAATTTTTGTATTGTTAGTAGAGACAGGGTTTCACCATGTTGGCCAGGCTGGCCTTGAACTCCTGAACTCAGGTGATCTGCCCCTCTCGGCCTCCCAAAGTGCTGGGATTATAGGCTTGAGCCACCACGCCTGGTCAATTTCTTGTATTTAGTAGATTTGAGGTTTCACCATGTTGGCCAGACTGGTCTCAAACTCCTGACTTCAAGT